ATGACCTCCGTCACGAGGTCACGAAGAAATAAGGAGGTAGTCCCATCACTAGAGTCACCCCGCCAAGAGGCCCCGAATACCCAACAGGTAATGGGCGTAGAGCTGCCAGATAACAGACCAGAGGATGACCCAAGAGCCACCCCGGTCGAGGAGGTCGAAGAGGTGCAACTTGGCGATAATGACCCATCCAAGAAGACCCAAATCGGCATGAAGCTGACTCCCATAGAAAAAGAAGAACTCGTAAGCTTCCTAAAAGCAAACAAGGATGTGTTTGCATGGACCTCGGCTGACATGCCTGGCATCCCAATTTCAGTGGCAGTACACAAACTCAGCACTAATCCTTTGAGGAAGCCAGTAGCGCAGAAGAGACGGCTTTTCGGGGGGGAAAGACTCACAGCCATTAAGGAAGAAGTGAAGAAGCTCTTGCAAGCAGGGTTTATCAGGAGAGTAGATTACTGCGAATGGATTGCCAACCCTGTCATGGTAAAAAAGTCAAACGGGAAGTGGCGCATGTGCATCGATTATACCAACCTCAACGACGCCTGCCCTAAAGACTGTCATCCCATGCCTAGCATAGACAAGCTGGTAGAGGCTGCCTCAGGGAATGAGAGATTAAGCCTCTTGGATGCTTACTCGGGGTATCATCAAGTCCGCATGGCACCCGAGGACGAAGTGAAAACCTCATTTTATGCCGGAGATGAAATATACTGTTATGTGATGATGCCGTTTGGGCTCAAAAATGCAGGAGCAACATACCAGAAAATGGTCACAATTGTGTTCCGAGCTCAAATCGGCAGAAATCTCGAGGTCTATGTAGATGACATTGTTGTCAAGAGTTCTCGAGTAGAAGACCACTTGACTGATTTGGCTGAGACGTTCAACAACCTCAAAAGATGCAGCATGAAGTTAAATCCAACAAAGTGCACTTTCGGTGTTGAATCGGGCAAGTTTCTGGGTTTCATGGTTTCTAGAAGGGGGATAGAGGTCAACCCTGAGAAGATAAAAGCAATAGAAGAGATGAAACCACCGAGATCAACCAAGGACGTGCAACGCCTAGCAGGAAGAATAGCAGCACTGCACAGATTTATCTCCAAATCAGCAGATAGGTGTTTGCCTTTCTTCAAGGTCCTAAGAACTACAGCTCAAAAGAATGAAGCGGGAAAACCCCAGAAGTTCAGTTGGACGACGGAATGTCAAGTGGCTTTTGACGAGCTCAAAGCCTACCTCAGCTTGCCGCCTTTGCTAACTAAGGCCCAAGAAGGTGAAATCCTTTATCTCTACCTCGAAATATCAGATACTGCTGTCAGTTCTGTCTTGATCAGGGAAATGGGGAGACAACAGCAACCAGTATACTATGCCAGCAAAGTGCTGCAGGGAGCAGAGCAGAGATACTCAATAGCGGAGAAGGCAGCCCTAACAGTTGTTATTACCGCAAGAAAACTGAGGCCATATTTCCAATCTCACCCTATCATCGTGATGACTGATCAGCCTCTAAGGAAAATTTTGCAGAAACCAGAATGCTCCGGGAGACTCATCAAGTGGGCAGTAGAGCTGGGAGAATTTCAGATAGCATTCCAGCAAAGGTCGGCAATCCGAGCTCAAGCCTTGGCAGATTTCGTGGTCGAATGCACCTCTAATCAGGTGGAGCCGAGCTCTGAGGCAGAAACATGGACCCTATACGTCGACGGATCATCTAATAACAAGGGTTCAGGAGCTGGAGCAGTATTAACTGGACCTAACAGCTTCCGGAGTGAACACGCTTTGAAGTTCAACTTTGAGGCCACAAACAACGTGGCCGAGTACGAAGCCCTCCTCCTCGGACTGCGTTTAGCGGCCGAACTAAAAGTCAAACGCCTACAGATTTACAGTGACTCACAGCTGGTAGTTAACCAAATCAATTCTATGTGCGAAGTCATTGATCCCGTCCTGGCAAGGTATGTGGCTGCGGTCTCCGAGCTGAAAAACTGGTTCGAAAAATTCCAGCTTACAAAGATTTCGAGAGCAGAAAATGAGCATGCAGATTCTTTGTCGAAGTTAGCATCTGAGAACTCTGGGGAAGCAAAATCTGTGTACATCGAGATACTCAATGAACCGAGCTTTCAGACGTCGGGGGTGATGGAGATCAGCACTGACCTAGATGCTCCGAGTTGGACAGACCCCATCTGGGAGTACCTCCTCAACGGTACCGTCCCAGGGGACAAACAGGAAGAGATGAAGTTGCGAAGAAAAGCCTCTCGGTACACCCTGGTTGGCGACATTCTGTACAAGAGGTCCTACTCGTTACCACTCCTCAGATGCCTGACACCATATGAAGTAGAGTATGCACTAAGAGAAGTACACGAGGGGGTATGCGGTAGTCATGTGGGAGCCCGGACTCTGGCACATAAGGTACTTCGGCAAGGGTACTATTGGCCTAACATGCAAGAAGATGCAAAGAGGTTCGTGCAGAGGTGCCAGAAATGCCAGTTCTTCACTCACCTCACCCATCAGCCAACTGAAGAACTCACTAGTATGACTGCACCATGGCCCTTTGCTCAATGGGGAATAGACCTTCTGGGCCCCTTTGTCAAAGCAGTAGGAGGAGCAACGCACTTAGTAGTTGCTGTCGATTACTTCACCAAATGGGTAGAAGCCAAACCTCTCTCTTGTCTGACTTCGAGAAGAATTGAGGATTTCCTCTTCAGTTCAGTCATCTGCAGATATGGAATACCGAACCAGATCATCGCTGACAACGGCCCCCAGTTCAATTGTAACTCCTTCAGGGACTTCTGTTCCAGCTACGGGATCAAGTTGGTGTTCACTTCCGTTTATCATCCCGAAGCCAATGGAATGGTCGAATCAGTCAACAAAGCCATCCTGGAAGGAATCAAGCCAAGGTTAGACCAGCTGAAAACAAAGTGGGTAGATGAACTCAACAACGTCCTGTGGGCTTACTGGACAACAAGCCGAACTGCCACAGGTATGTCCCTCACTTTGATTCTCTTTTTTATTACCTTATTTACAGTTACAAACTACCCTTTAAAGTAAATCCTAAAATTATAGTTTCCTGCAAATAGGCGAAACGCCCTACCACTTAGCCTTCGGCACCGAGGCAGTCATCCCTGTCGAAATTGGTGTCCCAAGCCTAAGAATCAGTCACTTTGAACCAGCTCAAAATGAGCCTCTACTAAGGGAAAACCTTGATTTCCTAGACGAAGTTCGAGAGCAATCCCGACTTCGGACTCTAGCATACAAACAAAGAATAGCCAACCTTTACAATAAACGAGTTCGACCTCGAAACTTCAGAGTCGGTGACCTCGTCCTCAGAAAGGCTAGGCTCACAGGGTTCGAAACCCGTTATGGTAAGCTAGCACCAAATTGGGAAGGTCCCTAAGTTGTAACCGAGATCCCACACCCCGGTGCATATATTCTCCAGGATGCCGAGGGCAGGAGGGTGCCTAGAGTTTGGAACGTTAACAATCTTAAGAAATTCCATCCTTGAAAGATCCTTTCTTTATTCTGTGTTAAGTATCTTTTTGTAAATAACGTTCCAGTACAATTAAAGATGACAAAGTTAATTCCACTTCTTCAAACTTAATTGTGTTAATAGTGTTATTTTAACTTCTCCTATTTTGGGCAACAAACGCAATAAAAAAGAATTAAATTCATTCCATTAATTTCCAATCAATTACAAAGAATATCTCAAAAAAAAAAACCGAGGTCAAATTTAGCCAGCAGTTTGATCCGGGTTAGCCGCAGGCTCTTCGGGGTTCTCAGCAGACTGACTTGGCTGGTCAACGCCTTCAGCTGACTTTTCAGCACCTTCGCCACCTTCGGTTACCTCTTCCTCCACTGCCACGAATTCAAAGCTGAACTTGGGAGGTAAGACGGTTTGACCTCTGCTATCCCTCTCCCACTTCAGCGTTATCTCTGGGTGGAAAGTCAGCGGTACTGCTCTCTCCGTCCTCTTCCACCTCCCCTTCCTGCTCTCCGAAGGTAATCTTCGTCATGTCCACAGCAGGATATTGGAGCTTTACCTTCTTCCGGCAGTCAGAGAAGGCCACGATGGCAGTGGGAAGACGGTAGAGATTGACAATGTCCTCGAAGGTGCTGGACCTCAGGAACCCCTCCACATGCCCTTCGACTGAGTTGTGAACTTTGAGCTTCAACTCAGCCACTGTCCTCCCTGCATCCTCCAACTCCTTCTCCCTCTTCTCGAGCTCAGCCTCGCATATCTTCCTCTTCTGGTACGAGATCTCTGAGTCCTTTTTGAATGTAGCATTTTCTTTCCGGAGTTCCTCCATCTTCGCTTTCAGTCTTGCCACCTCGGCCTCGGCCTCGTCGTTCTTCTTGACGAGCTCGGCATTATCTTTCCTAATCTGGTTTCTCTCTTTCAAACTCTCGTGATGCTCGTTGGCCAAGGCATTCACGAGATTAATAGCTTGCACAATGGAACCACCTTAACTCGTCAAACACTTCACAAAGTCAGAATCCTGACGCTCCAAGCAAGATGAAAGGACCATACCTCCAGCGTTTGACGGACAACGCCAACTGAACCCCTGGCAGCCACCTCGTCCTTCACACGCTGGCGATCCACCTCCGGGAAGTAGGTGTTGATGAACCTCTTTGCTGTACTCCTCATCCCGGAGTCATAAAAGCTGGTTGTCTGCGCTCGGATGTACCCTTGCTCCCGGAGCGCAGCAGCGAACTCAGCAGCTGAGGCGGATGAGGTCCCTTCCAGACGGAGGGTTGAGGTCACGGGCTCTCGTACCTCCTCTATCTCCTCCATGGCCTCTAGCCTCTCTAGCCTCCTCCTCTTTGCCACAATGGGCCCCTCCTCAACAACCGTCACTTCACCCCCAACGTGGCTAGGCTGAGAAATGGCCAAGTTTCCCACTTCGGCTTGAGGCACTGAAATCTCCTCCCCCCGCCTCCTGATCTCGCCTCTCTTCCCTCTTCCCTTCTTTGGAATTCCAGCTCCACCAGCTGCGTCCAAAAACTTGTTCATTTCTTCTGCAAAATAAAACAAGGTTAAACTCTGATCAGGACTCTCGAACTAAATCAGCAATTAAGGTTACACACCTCCTCTCTCTGAGCTCGGCCCATATATCTCAGCCGCGTCTAACATCCTCTGGCTCGTATATTCCATTACGTCCAGCAAACCCACCCCCCCTTTCCAACTCCTCCACATCCTCTTTCTCCCCCGAGGTCAGACTATACTCGTTGAGACTTAACCCTTTCGCCTTCTAGTGACTTAAGTGCTCTACCTCAGCATCAGTCTTATCCCACTCCGTATCATCCACAAAAAAGAACTTATCTTTCCACCCCTTAATGGAAGACGGCCCGGCGCTAAACAAACCCCTCCTTTGCTTATTCGCTACCCGGCCCGTAAAATAGTACCACCCCTTCTCCCTACCACTACCAGCGTTTAAGACGTAAAAGTACTTGAATACGTTAGCAGTAGGAAAACTCACCCCCCGACTTCGGCCATATACTGCAAACGCCACCACCAACCTCACAGCATTTGGGGTGAGTTGCATCAATCCCAGACCGTACTCTACCAGCAGCCACACCAGTAGGTCTGGGAGAGGAAACCGCAACCCAGCCACCAGGTAATGGGAGTAGAGAGGCATCCAGTGGTCCCCCGGGGCCGAACACGCCCTCTCTCTACTCCCCGCCGGCCTTACCAACACACGCCTGGGCACCCCATAGTTCTCAACCAAGTGGGCCAAACTACCCCTATCCTCCAAAGTTGTTGCATACCCTGCCACCTCACTAACAACTTCCTTCTCAGGGTTAAAACACGGCTCCCTTCCATCCTCTCTCTCCAAAATGTTTGACGGCACCCCCAAATCCCTATCCACTACCTCTTCAGCCCTTCCCCTCACTTGGCCGTCACTAAGCGTCTCTTCAGAAGACATTCTCACGACAAAGAAAGGTAGAAAAAGACACTCGGATGCTCGCAAATTACCTGGTCTCTGCGAAAACGAACGAACAGCGTTGAGTACAAGTACACCGGCGACTTTTCCAGAAGCTAACAGCAAATTGGGTTGCTTTTTTCTAACTCTGAATATATATATGACAGTAAAACATATCCTGACGGTCGTGGTTAACTTCCTTAAACCGTCACGACTGTGCCTTTTCAAATTCGCCGTTTAATTTAACGCCGCGTCCTTTCGAATGTAACGGTTACTTTTCACAGACGATATTTATTACTGCACGTTTTTCCATGACAGCTGTCGTCCGCTGCATTAACCAGATTTAGTATTCCATAAATAGGCCCATTTTAGGCCCATTCTAAACCCCCCAACATATACTTTACACGAAAACTGTAAGTCACAATTTTACCTCGGCTACGGCCACAGTGACCACGCGTCACCTCGGCTACGGCCACAGTGACCACGCGTCACCTATTTCACCTCTGCTACGGCCACAGTGACCACGCGTCACCTATTTTACCTCGGCTACGGCCACAGTGACCACGCGTCACCTGTTTCACCTCGGCTACGGCCACAGTGATCACGCGTCACCTATTTCACCTCGGCTACGGCCACAGTGACCACGTGTCACCTATTTTGCCTCGGCTACAGCCACAGTGACCGCGCGTCACCTATTTCACCTCGGCCTCAGCCACTCCGCTATCCTACTCTATCAACCACACCACCACTCAACCCCACTCTTATTAGCCACCTTTCCCATCTTCCCTCCTATCATTCACAAGTGAATGACTTCGGGGGGGGAATAGTGTAAGGGCAGCCACACGAGACAAGACAAGGTGCAGAGCTCAGAGCCAACTCTGCACAGAGCCAACCACACCTCGGCTGCAGAGCTCAGGGTTTACCGCACCTCGGCATTTCGCCGTAGGTGTATGACAGCCACAATAGGCACGCCCTCATCTAATCATTTGTCCGTATCAAAACACCCCTTCTCAAGGAACCTGCTTCGCCAGAACGCACCACGCGCATTAAATGCGGTTGCTCCGTTAAGGCACGTTACACTCACCTAAAACGTCTACTCCGTCAGGCGCACCATGTCACCATTATTGGATTGACTAGGCCACGTGGGTGCCTTGCCAAGCGGGACAAAGCCCACAAGGTAAGACTCGATAAATAGGCGAAACAAAAGGAAAAAGGATGATCGGAAAAATACTGACTTAAGCATCGAAGTTTCTCCCCGAGGACAAACCTCGGGATTTTGTAGGACCATTCGGAGAAGAGTCAACTCGAAGCAGGAACTCAAGGATATCCAGCAACTACACCCTTATCATGCCACTTCTTGATCACGTCACATTGGGAACTAAACAAGTGCCTTAATCTTGAGCACCTGCTGCAGTTGTTTTTTCAGAAATGCCTGCATCAATTCTTTAATATGACTGAGTAAACATGTAAGCTGAGTGATGAAGTCAACTCTTGTTTATTGTAACCAAGTTCAAGTCAGTTATTAATGACAGTAATGATAGAAATGATGATGCCTTTCTTATTTCATTAATTTCTGTTTTTTTTTTCTTTTTATCAGCAAATTTCTGTAGTTGATAATGCAGAAACTACATAAATTGATGAGGTAAAATAATGCACCATGTCTATATATACGCATCCTTCCAGTATTCTATAGAAGTTGACAACTCTCTAGTTAACAATATGTCTCAGATGGTTGGCGCAGGTGACATATAGTCATTAAGAATTGAGTTGTCACAGATTAGAGGGACTCAGAATTCATTGTTTCAGCTTGAAGATTTCAATTTCCAAAGCAATTCCGAACTGAGGTATGCAAAGGATGCTGCTGCTGTTGAGTACTTTCAGCAATGGTCTGCAATTGAGAGATTGCCCACCTTTCAATGGCTAAGATCATCTTTGTTTGATAATGATAGAGGAAAGCAAGTGATTGATATCACCAAGCTTGGATCACTAGAG